CGGGGCTGACGGAGCTGCCGAAACGCCGGCGATGGGGGCGATGGGACGGAGATCGCTGCAGCCTCCGGGTGAGTCTTGCTCTCTGGTGGGTTGACCTTGGCTGATGTCCACCCGGCCGCTCTCTCCCCGTCTTGGGCTGGAACGGGGAGAAAATAAGACGAAAATGGTCGAGGGTCGAGATAAAGGCAAGGAGATCGTAGGGAAAACAGACGCGACTTGGAGGAGATTAATTAAATTTATTGGTAATTAGAAACAGAGGAGGATGGCGAGAAACAGAACTAGAAACACCTCAGCTTCGCTCCTGAGTCTTCTGCCGCCTTCTCCCCACCCTGAGAAGGGATGGGGGCTGTGGTCAGTTCGTAACAACTGTGGGACCCAGTCCTTCCCGAACTGCTTCAGTGGGGGTCCTTCCCATGGGCTGCCGTCCTCCAGGATGAACCTGCTCCAGCATGGGTTCTCCATGAGCTGCAGTCCTCCAGGATGAACCTGCTCCAGCATGGGTTCTCCACGAGCTGCAGTCCTCCAGGATGAACCTGCTCCAGCATGGGTTCTCCACGAGCTGCAGTCCTCCAGGATGAACCTGCTCCAGCATGGGTTCTCCATGGGCTGCAGTCCTCCAGGATGAACCTGCTCCTCACCACTTGCTGCAGTCCTTCAGGTTCAACCTGCTTCAGTGTGGGCTCTCCATGAGTTGTAGTCCTTCAGAACGAACCTGCTCCAGTGTGGATCCTTCCCACGGGTTGTAGTCCTTCAGGTTCAACCTGCTCAAGCATGGGTTCTCCACGGGCTGCAGTCCTTCAGGATGAACCTGCTCCTCACCACTTGCTGCAGTCCACCAGGGTGAACCTGCTCCAGCATGGGTTCTCCATGGGCTGCAGTCCTTCAGGATGAACCTGCTCCAATGTGGATCCATCCCATGGGCTGCAGTCCTTCAAGTTCAACTTGCTCCAGCATGGGCTCTTTTTTTGTAGGGAAAACCTCTTCTCCAGTCCCTGGAGCACCTTCTCGCTCTCCTTCACCGACCTTGGTGTCTGCAGGGTTGCCCCACATGACTTGTCACAGAGGTCACCGCTGCAGCCCCCTCCCTACCCACAACCTTGCCACGTAAACCCAGTACCTTTGTCTTATCCATCCCTCTGTCCTCCAACGCATGAAGGTCTCCGCTCTTCTGATTTTTAGCAGGATTGCCCTCCATTTTGTCCCCCCAAAATTTAAGAAGGATTGGTCAAGATGCCTTACTTACCATTTTCTTGGCCATCTGTGCTGGGACAGGCGTGGGGCGTTGCGCAGCTTCCCCAAGGAGGAGCGTCTCTGCAAGACGTTGCTCCGGCAGCTTTGAGATGGTGGGACAGGATGGAGGCGTCTCACTTCACCAAAATCCCCCGTTTCCTCCCCGTAGCCGCCAGCCGGAGCTTTTCCCGGAGGAAGCGAGATGAGGAGACACCTTCCTACCTGAAGTGGGTGACTTTTGAAGGCAAGCTGCCCGACGATGCCGTCTCCAACTGGAACGACTACGCCAAGAGGATGGAGTACGTCTGCTCCACTTCGGTGCTCGGTTGCGACACCGGTGCCTACGTCCCCGACCGAGGTCCCTTCTGCTTCTTCCCGTATGGAGAACGGGAGCGGAGCACCCGCCACTTCAAGGTGTTGGTCAACGTGGGAAACTTCGAGATGCTGGATTGGGTGGACGACTCCTTCGGCAGCGTGCCCGAAAACGCCGTGGCGGGCTGCCCGTTCTTTGATACCTTTGTTGGGAGGAACCGCTACGGCTTGGGGAAGATCTCCAAAGAGCAGAGGGCTGCCTTTGTGGTGGTGGATGGTGAGGAGGTTTGGTACAAGTGGTACCAAGTCTTGGTGGTCAAGAAGGGCCTGGCAGACGTCACCATCTCCCACGTCCGCTACAACATGAGCAGGGCAGTGGAAGGCGGGGAGGACGTCACCCTGATGAAGACCACGGTGAGGAACGAGGGTTGTCAACGGGTGCGGAAAGCTGTCACCTTGGAGGAGGTCACCGAGACGGAGCACAACTGGGGGACGGACCGGAGGGTCTTCGCCACCGTCCACGGGGTGTTGCAAGCCGCCCACTTGACCTTCAGTGGGACGGGCTGGGACGTCACCAACGTCACCAACATCCCCTGGGTGGGGGGAGCCAGCACCAGCGAGTACGTCGTCCACATCCGCGTGGTAGAAGAGGAGCTGCAGCCCTGGACGACGTGCGCGGTGGCCCTGGAGGGACGCCGGCTGGACATCCGCGTCCCCTTCACCGCGCAGCTGACCCGCGATTTTGGCGACGGTCAACCGCACCGCGTGGCCGTGACGGGGTGGGCTCATAGCCGGGTGGTGGTGGGCGTCCGAGCTGGCGTCAAGGAGTGCCAACCCATCGATGACGCCCCACCATGCTGGGTGTAGGGGATGGTGAGGAAAATCGGTGTATCTGCTTCTTGCAATCTGCTTTTTTTTGGCTTTTTGGGGGCTTTTTTTGGCTTTTTTTCCCCTAAATAACCCCCATCTCACCCTGAAACGCGATGGCAGCAACCTGGAACGCCAAAAAACGCCTTTATTTTAGCGTCCGCGTTTCCCGTTTGCGTGGTGTAACCATCACCCCTCCCTGAAATGACATGGCCACAACGTGGAACGCAGAAAAACGTAGATATTTTTTTTTTTCTTCAGCCTGCGTTTTTTATTTTCTCCAAAATAACCTCCGTCTCTCCCCAAAAAGACACAGCAACACCAGGCAATACAGAAAAACGCAATTTTCGCAGTCTGCCTTTTGTATTTTTTCCCCCCCAATAACCTCCCTCTCTCCCCGTAACGGGATGGCAGCAGTGCGGGATGCAGAAAAACCGCGTTTTCTCTTATTTTTCCTTTTTTCCCCCCAAAGCTTGCAGCTGGACGGACGCAATTTCCCAGCCGTGACGCCTGCGTCGTCGTCTTTCCTTCTCGCGTTTTGTGGAAAAATGCTGATGATGCAAAGAAATTTGGCTGCGTCCTTTGTTCGAACGCTCCCAAAATGGGATTTAGTAAGAAAAAAAGGCAAGGAGGAAGGGGAAAAAAAAAAGAAAAATGGGGGGAAAAAAAAACAACCCACCAAATAAGGGCTGGAAAGGCAACCGCTCGTCTGGGGTTGATGGTGGTGGTGTCATCTCGGGGTGACACGGACCAAAGTTGTCACCATCCCCCTCACATCGTCGCCACCCCCCCCCTTTCCCAGGGAGTGACAGCAGAACCGACCAATCGGTGCAGGCGTAGGGCTGTCGCCCCGCCTACCGGGCGCTGATGGGGAGGGGGTGTCCGGAGGAGTTTGGGGGGTCCTGGGGGGCCACAGAGGGGTTGGGGGTGCTGGAAGGTT